CTGTCATTTTTTTTCAAAAAAATAAATTTAAAAATTATGCTTTTTAACACATGCACTGACAATTTGGTAATAGAGTTAGTAGAAAGAGAAAGGAAGATATTATTGAAGTTGACTGAAGGGTGACTATCGTAGAAGCTTCCTCACGTGTAAGGATTTTAGTGGACTTAAACATATAAATTAAGTATCTAATTGAGTTATTCAATAATTAAAATTTTAAAATTTTAAATTAAAAATTTTAAATTTGATCCTTAAGTCAAATATGAAAAAATTAAAAAATAAGATAAGGTTATTATCTCTCGTATAACCTATCATAAGATATAAAAAAAAAAAAAGAAACATATAAATTAAGTTAAACATCAACTACCTCCCCCAAAAAGGAAAAACAGTGTCAACCTTCTTGCTACAAACGCTTTGAAAATATCTACTTTAAGACGACACAGGATCGAGCTTTTCTGCGATCTTAGTAAGATGATCATTAATCTTAGTAAGATGATCATTAATCTTCCCAGCCTGGAGTTCCAAGTCATACTTCTGATCACCTTGATTTGTTTCCATTTCATCATCCTTGGATTTCGATAGTTTACTCTCTTTATCTTTTCCCCACAGGACAGCGTAAAGTCCAGCAACGATCAGAACAGATCCTGCAAGACTGAATCGATGCACATATAATTAGTCATATCTTTGACAATGCTAAAGATATGGTTCAATAATCAATGTATATATTATATACTTACGTTCCAATGAATAATTTTTCATGTAGCAGTGCAAAACTTAGGATTGCCACGATCACCAACGACAGAGGACTGAACATCGAGACGTAGAAAGGTCCTTTCTTTTCTATGCTCCATGTCACTAGGCAAAATGCCAGCCCGTTACATACGATTCCCTAAAATTACGTGCCAAATCAGATAAGGCAACTCAAATCTAATAACACAATCATTTTTACATTTTTATTAATTTGTAGTTGGCTTGGTAGTAAAACAAACCTCGTATAAAGCTGCAAAAAGTCTGATACTGGAGCTCAATGACCAGGCAGAAATTCTATGTTCAAAAATGAAACCAATGACAGTGCACTCAATGCTCGCCATGAAACACATTACTGCAGTTGTTGTGTAAGGCGCTTCAAACTTTTTCCCTAGTCGTTCCTGAGAAATGAAAATCATTGGTGATTGAAACAATTTATTTAATGGACGAAGTAAAAGTGCAAGGAATTAGGTGTTTTGAGGTCAAGCATGGACCTGTAGTATGAACCCAACAGCCCAAGCAACACAGCTGAGCATGATTAGAAACAGACCGAGGAAGTTTGTCCCGTTGTTGGAACTTGAATTAGTCATTTTCTCGGCATATTCCCAATGAATGCTGGATTCTAATATGTCCATGGTGTGTCCATGGTAAAAAGACAACAACATGGATCCAACAACACATGCAATGGTTCCAATCACCTTTGCCTTCCCTGCTGCAGTTCTTATTTCCACATTTTTTAACCTATTAAAACCAGAAAATAAAAATAAAATCGATAAGGCCTTGATCCAGTAGTACTAGTACTAGTAGTAGTACCATGAAAGCCCTGAGTATATATATACACACACGTTAGGCTTTTAAATTTGATTCTAAATTAGTTCTTCAATTAAAAAATAGTTGATGTATTAATTACTTGACAATAAAAAATTATTATTTAACAACCATGTATCATGTTAGTAACAGATATGTCAATTGTTTTTATATTAAAAGATTAATTTAGAGTCAAATTTAAAAACTTTAAAAACCAAATCAAATTTTTTTTTTAGTTGAAAGACTAATTGATGTATTAATTACTTGACAATAAAAAATTATTATTTAACAACCATGTATCATGTTAGTAACAGATATGTTAATTGTTTTTATATTAAAAGATTAACTTAGAGTCAAATTTAAAAACTTTAAAAACCAAATCAAAATTTTTTTTACTTGAAAGACTAATTCAATGTTTTATATAATAGTTGAGAAACGAAATTAGAAGTTTAAGCTAGTGCCGGAACTAGGAATCAATTAAGGGTAAAGCTTTCTATTTTTTAAAACTCGAGTTTTAACCATCATATAAGGTGGTTCCACCACTACTGAAAGGTTTTAGGTGCAAAATCCGAGAACCTGCAAACGACTTCTAAGACAAAAGTGACTGCAGGGAAGAGATCGTTCAATGCACAGGCAATTATTGCTGTTGAATACTCAAGTCCAAGAACGTAAAACACCTGGTTTGCAGTCACCCTGCATAAGATTATTGTTAACTTCCTTGTATTTTTCAGCACTCATAGCAATATTTTGAAGGAAATTCATCAGGTGAACCCCAAAGTCCAAAATAAAAACACGTACGTCGTAATTGAAAGCAAGAACAACTGGAGCAGTATTTCACTTGTGACCGTGGGTCTTGTCTTCCTGCTCAAATAACCAGAAAAAAGAGTCAGAAACTTCTAATTGTGCAAAAACACAAAGTTTCCTCCTAGGAAACAATTTTCTTGGCATTGAAACAGAACCATATTTGCCCATGCAAATAACCCAATTTGTGACTTAATGCGGTGCGTGTCACGTTATACAGGTGCCAGGCGCCAAGCTAGCATAGAAAAAAGTTCTGAGAAATGTTCAATAATTCCAATGAACTTTATATCAAAGTTATCAATACCGTATTGACATATGTACCGGTTTTGCTACTGAAATGGTACGTACCGGATACTGAAATTTTTTATGTACCGTTTCGGATTTATCGGTATAAAAAATTTTTGTGAAGAAATTCAAGAAAAATAACAAGAAAAGGACTCAATCAAAAAAATTAAAAAGTTAAGGATGAAATCTACCAAAACAAATCCACAAATCCACCCCAATATTGAGCCCACCAACAATTTAATTCAAGTTCCAACCCAATTTCATAGCCCGACCCATCAAAACCCAAATTTAACAATAAAAGAAACCCTAGTTTCCCCTCTTGTCAAGTGTGAACGAAACAGCAGACTAAAAAAAAAAATACAGAAAGCCTCTCGATTTTTCTCCCTTCTCCCTTTTGCAGATCTGCGACGGCCACCTCTTGCTAGCTAATCGTCACGCTCATCTCACCAATCACCAAGAAGACGATATAGATCTAGCCGCAAGCCCCTTGGGACTCTGACCTTGACATTTTCTTGCGTCTCATCATCATCACTGCCTCCACCTTCATCACCGGTAAGCAGAGGGGTTCGGCAGCCACCAGAAAGGGAGGATCTCTCTTCTTCAAAAAAATCTGGAGTGGTTGTCAACACTACCGGTACACCGGAATACCAGCCGGAATACGGAGATTTGACCGAAACGAGCGAAATTTGACCAAAACTAAATTAAGCTTTATACCATTTCGGTGCATGGAAAAATCCGGTACGTACCGGCAAGAAACGGAATTAACTTCTTTGCTTTATATTAATTTTTTTTTTAAAAGACATCTCTTTCCTGCATTTTCCCAGAAACCAAACCAGAGCCCATATCAAAGATAATCAGAGAAAAAAAAAAAAAACCGTTTGCTTCAATTAGATGTACTACTTAAAGAACTAGAAAAAAGAAAGAAAGAAAGTTGTTTTTGTTTTCTTGAATAGATTATTACCGCTCCATGAAAAAAGCGAAGGGGGCGATGACAATGACGGAAAAGATTTGACGGTAAGCCACGAGAACAAGAGGTTTCATACCGGCTTCCATGGCCAGTTTCGAGGTGATGTTCATTACAGCATAGCCTACCTGCACCAGAGCCATGGCCAAACACGGCATGAAATCCTTCAACATTCTGTTTCTTACTTTCTTTCTTGACTCTGTGTAGGCAGATAAAAAGAAGATGAAAGAAAGAATATGAGATGAAGAGGAGAGAGGCATAAATACGGAGGGATTGAGCTTGACATTTTTTTTTTTTTAGACTTTCTCGTGTTTAACCACATATCTACAAAAGTATTTATTTTACTTAATTAGGTTTTTCCTTGATTACTTATTAAATTTTTTATCCCAATTTTTTTATAATGTTTCATGATTTGGTTGCTTGATTGTAGCTGCTATTTGGTAAATTTGAATTCGCCTATAGAACTTTAATTTGTCAATTAAAGTGGAACAAAAGGGAGTACATCATAGACACATGATTATTTATTGAAGTATTTTTCTCCAGAAAAAGAAAAACAGATTTTCTGACTTGTATTTTATTAAGGTTGTAGTTATTATAATTTTTTAAAGATAATGATTAATGCATCTTTTAATTTAATATATTTCACAATATATTTACTAAA